GTACTGGCCACGATTCGAAAAAGGTACTGGATAATAAAAGGAACCAGCACGGTTAAGAGAGTGATAGGAAAGTGTGTGACATGCCGTCGGTACACGATGGTTACAGGGCAACAATTGATGGCACCACTTCCAGCTTGTAGAGTGCAACAAGGATGGTATAGCTTCTCAGCCGTGGGAGTAGACTACTTTGGACCCCTTTTTGTCAAAAGAGGAAAATCACTAGAAAAAAGATATGGATGTGTGTTTACTTGCTTGCAAACCCGGGCAGTGCATATTGAAATGACACATAGTTTGAACACTGATTCGTTTATAATGGCCTCGTTACGCTTTATTGGAAGAAGAGGGAAACCTGCCGAAATTTACAGTGACAATGGATCAAATTTCGTGGGTACGGTCTCTGAATTACGGAGATTTGTGCAACAGTTGAATCAACAGAAAATAGACAAAGAACTGTCAGCTAGACAAATTTTAACCCGCCCTCATCCAGCCACAGGGGTGGAGTTTGGGAAAGGATGATTAGGTCCATACGCCGGCTGTTATTGTTGATAACTAGAGAGCAGACTCTAACCGATGAGACTTTAAACACTTATTTGATCGAGATTGAAAGGATATTGAACGATCGACCCTTAACTCCGGTCGTTCAAGATGCTAACGATAAACTAGCCTTGTCGCCAAATAGTTTGTTATTATTGAGAGAATGTGACGGAATAGTCGAAGAAGGTAGCATCAGAGATAAATATGACAAACGTTGGAAACAGATTAATCATCTTGCTAATGTGTTTTGGAAAAGGTGGCTAAGAGAGTATTTACCGTCCCTACAAAAACGTCAAAAGTGGTTAGTTGAACACCGCAATTTTCAGAAAGGGGATGTAGTGATCTTAGCTTCGGACATATCAACTCGTGGAAAATGGCCCTTAGGCGTAGTTGAAGATTGTGAAATAGATGACGACGGAAGAGTTAGAACAGTGGTTGTTCGTACGAACGGTGGATTAGTCAGGAGAGATATACGTAGATTATGCCTCCTTGAAGGCTCGAATTAGCTCCTCGTGTTATTAGTGTAGTTAGGTTGAGTAGGCGTACTGTTGTAAGTCCTACTCGTTCCCATGGTGTGACATGTTATATAATGAACCATGACCGTAGGCATCAAGGTAGCTTGTGTGGTATGGAGGGATTTTGGGGGCCGGTGTAAGATCCGTTTTGAATGTGTTGTGTGTTGGTGAAAATCCCTCCATGTATATACTTGTACTTTATTCCTATTGATCACATTAGTTGTACATTGTTGTATTTTGATTACATTTGAATTGTTAATATTTGTATTTTTGTTATAGTTTTTGTTTTTATTACGCATTTACTAAGTTTGTGTTTCTTCCTGAACTGCATCTGCGTTGTTTTACTTGACACTTGTTCTTGACGGTAGCCATATTGATTTGTTCCTCCTGTTGTGTGTGATCTATCCAGTTAGGATAGAATAACGTTCATTTGTTGTGATTGATTTAATTGATTGAACAATCATTGGTTGAATAGCCGGGTGATAATATTTGTTTAGAACCGCTAGTTACCCGATTACTTGTTCTGATTTCGACGGGAAAGGGCGCGTGTCTAAAGTCACGGAAGGCTATTCTTCAACATCCAAACCGTAGTTTGGATCCTACACCACTCTCTACAGATATCAATATGGATAAAGCCCCATTTGCCGGTACACGTTGCCTCTTATTGCCAATAGAGTTACGCATCCAACTTCTAGTTCTATAATGGATTCCAAAACTTTCCAGTTTTAATTTAAGACTAATCTGAGAAAGTTTAGCTTGGGCTTTACTGAGATCGGTGAAAATCACATACACGAGGCAGTTAATATCTCCCGATGCAGTAAAATATTCCCCAGCAACGACATTTGTCAAGGATGAAAGACCCCCTTCGAAACCATGTTACCCTCTTCACAAAAGATTATCCCATTCCATATAGTTTAGAGTAGACACTTTTTGGCGACTACGTTGGTTAGACGAACAGGGTGATCGCTTATAAATGTTTGTTCCTTCAACTTTAAACCGTATTATAGTTGCATCTTTCCAATCCCTTGACAACCTAGTCTACTTGGGAGATATATAAAATAGTACTGCCAGAGTTTCAGCAATAACATACATCAGAATTTCCATGATCCTAGGGTGAATATGATAAGGACCACTGAACTTATGTGGCTTCAGATATCACAGTAATCGTTAGATAACTTCCTTCTCAATTATCAGAGCATCCAACGATATAACTTTTTTGATCCTCATTGTTACGAGATTCGAAAATAAAGGAACATTTATCCGTATTATTAGTTACGCATACAAGGATCCCTCTCATCCCTACATCTATTTCCATCACCTCTTAGGTAGTTGTACTTGTATAGTTCTGTAGTCATGGACTAACCAAGTTTCAGTCACGGATGTGATAAGTGTCTTTGTAGTGTCATTGTGCCCTAACCACACATTCCTCAAAGCTGAAGATGAGATAACTGGTAAGATAGACATTTAACATTTACCGCTGAGAAAAACCTAACAATGGAGAAGGCGGGAAGGATGAATAGAATACATCGGATGGCATGGCTTAACTTCGTAGACGTTATCATGCTTATGCAACATATCTCTTTTACTCATATTAAACAAATTAATCTATGTCCAGCCTAAATGTGTTTTCCGTGCCTGTAGGCAACCCTCATGCTATTGATAGAAGGAACCAGACTAGTAGTGAATAGGTCTTTATTTAGGTCTTCGCGCAGTCACAGTGGAGTGTGGGATTGCCTGTTCAGACGAACAAGGCCTCTCAGCATTCAGTATAAGATAATAGAGAATATAACGCCTATACAAAATAAGGAAGTGAATGAATAATTGAATTCTGTTGTTTCTACACATACTTAGTTGTTTGAAGTCAACTCTTAACCAATCAACCTAAGCTTGTAGTGGCATTACGCCCTAACGCGAGACAATGTGGGAAATAGACAATCAACATATAACACGGAGGAAAACCCAGCGATGAAGAGGGTGAGAAGAATGAATTGAATTAATTGGGGTTGATCGTATGGCATGGTTCGGCCATGCAGGCGTGGTCCCTGTTGAATGTTGCCTTATATCTTTTATACATATTAAATATATTGTTCTTTCTCTAGCCTATGTTTGTTCTCTATCATGTAATTGTTACGATGTAGTGAGTTGGTATAGACGATGACGTGACTTCCACGTAAGATCTTATAGATTAGGCAGTTATATCATGACAAATCTCCAAGTGTAGGATTAGGTCTATTATTAGAGCAGTACTAATATCATAGTAGACCATAATTCTATAAGCTGTTACATGTTCTCGATCATATATTGGTGATTGTTACAATAAGACGGGTCAGTGTAGACATTGCTGTGACTTCCACGTAAGATCTTGTAGATGAAGCAGCTACATCATGACAAATCTACATATCACATTATTAATTCATGAAATTTATTTCACATACTATGAGAGTTTGTGCACAAGACTCTTAAAGAGGATGACCTACCCATGCAAGTTTTGTTCGTATTCTCTTCCAAGACCTTGATATTTGGAGATCTAGCAGAAGATGGTTTTCTTCACCATTCTTTTGACAGATTTCTAGTTCACATAGGACTTTTTAATCTATCCTTCAGAGACATTAGGTTCAACATGTGTGTTGTAATTTTAGCGCTTTCGACCACTCGTTAACAACATCTCTATTCGGTCCCCTGACCCTAGGATCACCTTCAAGAGCATACGTGATTGGGGACCAATATTTCCCTTAGTCCCCTTAACCATCTATAACAGTTTCACGGTCCGAACTCCCGTAGAATGTCTGGGTAATATGTTACCAATAAATGTTCCGACCTGCCCTAAGTCATACGTAAGTCTAAATGCTGGATCAACGTTCTTTGATTCTCACACGAATGTTCGGTGAAATTAAATTTGTTTCCTACCCAAGGGTTAAGGATAGTGTTACTTCGGAAATTCGGAGGAATATTCTGTGACTCAGAATGGGAACATACCGAAGATTCGTCAGCCAACCATTTACTGTTAGCGGAAGTGGGTTTCTTCTAAACTGTTGTTTATTTCCCTTCACCCAAGACACTCACATCAAATGTACTTGTAACGGTTTTCTAGGTCTTCAGATACGGCTTTAGACTCATGTAACCCGACATGCAGTGATGTGTTAATCTTTATTTGTCTCGGAGATTTTACTTATTCAGGTTTCTCAGTCGACTATTTAGCTTCTCGTTTATCTGAGCATACAGAACTGGCAGAATTTTCTGTCAATGCCCTAATCATCAGTTCAGTTATCAACAACCTTTTAATGACCAACGTCAGAGAGCTCATCGCCTCCTGGATCAGCAAAGTCCTGCTGCAACAGCAGCAGGTGCAGAGATAATGGAAGTTAGGCTGTGGACACCCCAAATTTTGTAGGTTTCAAACGTTTGGTTATTTTGTGAAACCACTTGTTGTACCAATCACACTGCGTTCTTTTCTCTGTAATAAAGAAGCACTCATGCTGTCCGAATTTATGAGAATAACCAACCACTGCAAAAAGAGCTGTACAAAACCTGTCATATATATATATATATATATATATATATATAACCTAAGACAATGGAACAGTATAGAATCTACTAGATTGAAAAACCCGAAGAAAATACGCAAGATCCCAGCAGGTGCGAAGATTGGTGAAAAATCAAGAAGTGCATCACAAAAAGATTTGTAAGCGCCTGGTAACTTTATTCGAAATGATTCAAGCTAGATCTGACCTAGTAAGCTCTTGATACCAAAACACACAAAAGCAAGTTGATTCATAAATTAGAAAATCATTACGCTTTTTTATAAACACGCGTTTGGTTGCACAAAATTATTACTCATGCACATTGAAACTTACAAATGAACAAACTGAAGATGATATTTTCCCTGCTAAACTGCTATGTAGTAAGATGACCATTTTTGTTTAACCTGTCTGTTTTTCTTATTTAGGACGACTCCATTTTGGTTGGCTCGTTGAAGTCTGTCTATTGTGTTATCCGTTTGCCAACGCTGGATCCCAATATCTCAGAATATCCGGAGAAGTTTTTGAATTTTCCACATGCAGTTGGCTTTCCTTCCAAAACTCCAATGAACAGGATGCCTTCTGCGGTTGCGAGTGGTGGGTCTCAGCCTCTCCATATGCAACCAGTTCACTCAGGCCCGGTGATATCAAGTTCTCTAAATTTGCCAAACACCCTCCCACCTGGTATGAAACTTTTGGTTAAGAAATAATTATTCAGGAATGCTCCATTCGGGTCATGGTATCCAAATGTCTGGTCCTCATGACCGCGAGCCTGCTACACCAGCTTCAGGTTCTGGACCAATACCAGGCCATTATTTCTCCACTCTTGGTATGAATCCTGGTTCCCCTCATCCTATCCCAAATATGGTCCCACATGGTCATCCTAGCCAGTTCCATCACCATCCACTACTATCATTGTAAGTTTATAATATTTTAACTCTTAGAAGTGTATCTAGCCGTTTTGAATATTTTTTTCAAACAGTCGTGGACCTATCACCTAGTACGACAATATGTTTGAACCCGATTTTTTTGCACGGTTAATGTCTGTGTGATGTGGTCTCGGGCAGTTTCTGCATTTTGGTTACGTGTCGCCATAACTACATAGTTTATCTTGTCCGTCTTTCTCTTATCATTTATTATATATCATGGTCGGACCCATCAAGTTCTCGTCCTCATGCACAGCTTGGTAGTATCTTTACTGGATTTAAGTCGCTAAATCTCAAAAATCTATGTCGAATAGCAGTCCTGATTTGTTTCTATTCATGTGTGGTTAGGGCGTGGTTCACTCTTGCTGTTCGCCACAAATGATTTGTCATTAATGATTGTGTCTAACTAAGCGGGAAATAGTCGAGAATCGTTCACGTGTCTTCTCCGCCGCGTGATTTCGGGCTTTTCCATTTGGTTTAAAGTTGTACAGTGATATCTCATCGTTCAACCACACCAATTTAAAAGTAGATGCTTGTAAATCTTAAAAAGTTAGGGTTTCGAGTAACGACCTGGAATGGTTTTCTGTCGTCTCATATCATAGTGTTCTTATAGCTGGCGCAATAGGTTTCTCCAACAATGTGCTACAACCTTACCCCGCCGTGGTTCTGATATCCAGTCGTCATATGCCTCGAATTATTCCTCTTCATTGACGAATCATAAACGGTGGGGTAAATTTATCCATCCTTATGTCGCTAATCAAAATGTTGCATATCTTTCGCGTTGATGATAATCAAGGGAATGAATATTGTATATGACAACCAACCAACGTGTTCCATATATCGTGATACTGACCTGAAACAAGCACCCTTTAATTGCGTTCGGTATCCATTTCAGCTCTTCTAGTACCTGTGTCACGCACGTGATGCCTTCCTGTCTATAAATAATTTCCACAATTTATCATATAAAGTCCCCATGACATTCGTTTAATAATTGAAGGGTTCGTCAGTCAGGTAATGTGTGACACTAAACCCAAGTTTTTGCTGGGTCAGATGGGTTGCTTCTTATACTAGTATTCCGTACCGTTACTCCTCCGCTTGCTCAGTAAATGGTGCTGTTGTGCAGGTTTTCACAAAACCACTTGTTCTTTGAGAGATTAAAGCACCAATTACTGATGTGTAATGTTTTCCTCTAGTTGAATCTGACCTTAGTGTCCTGGTCATAAAGTATAAGACGTTAGTCAATCACCTGAGTTTAGGAGACTCATGTAACCCAGGAGATGCATACGGGAAGTTGTACTATTCATAGAGCAGTCTTCAATAAACCTTTAATCCTGTGTTAGTAGTAACCAAACAACGGGTAGGTGACAGCTTTCAACATTGGACATTATATTTGCGGTTTAGGCCAAGTTAGTTAATTTTCGTCAGTGCTAGTACCTATCAAACATGATCACTAGTTTCCTAAGTAAATAATGTATTCAATAACCCTGTCATTAACGTCTAATCAGGCATCAGTTCCAACTGAACAGTTCGTGCTTTGAGCTAATATCTTTGCAGCTTCGACCTCAATAATAAATAAAAATATTAACATTCCCTCCCCCACTGACTAGAGAGAGAGAGGTCCGGTTTCTTAATGGGAACTTTGTTGGTAAGGTTTCTAATAGAACTAAAAATACATTTTAAGTTAATTGGTTACATATCAGATACAATGATTTAAAGTTGTAAACCGAGCGACTGTCATTAAACAAAGTTACAATAAAAACCCTCTGAATTTTCACAAAGTAGTACAGCAGAAGTGCATCACCTTAAATCAATGTTGGTTTTCCTCAAAAGTTGTACTTTGGGACTTCACATTCCCAACAACACTATTAACTTGATATCAACAGCGATATACTTAAGTATAGCTACACCTACCCTATCAGTCCCAGTTTTTGTCTACACATATATTACTTTAAGTAACAGCTTTTGAGGTCTATGTAACATTTTTTACAATAATTTCTAGAGTTAGAGTTTTCTAAACTTCCCCTCACCGGTGCTAAGTGGTGAAAGCACTTTGACATTTCACTTGTGACTTGAAATGGTGGGAAGGATCAACAGATTTTTGCACTGATAGACATTGAATCAGTCACATCGAAACTGCTTTAACCTCGAGATCAGACCTGAGCCATATTCTTCAGATTCGTCACACTTCTAAAGCAGCATTGTAAGATAGTTTGATATCTTATTGTTTATATCGATATCCTGTGTATTTTACCACGTTTAACTGGCCAACAATTGGATATGAGGATAAATAATTTAAATGTTCACTGGTAATATTGTAATCTAAAAAGTCCACATGACAGATTGTTGCACTGCGATCTCAAACCATCGTTTTTATTCACTACTAGCTTCAAACAGTAATAGCGGTTGTTAGAAAGTAATGAATGATCAAATAATAGGATGTGATGCAGTTATTTCCACGGAAGCTCTGTCCCATGTGTTCTGTTGTAAAATAATCACAGTGGTTATCTAGTTTAGCTTAAATATTACGTAAAAGTATGTGAGCCTTCAAATTATTCTCCTAATTGAGAAAGTTTATGCTGGATAAGTTTTCGTGTTGGTGAAACCAAGTATCTAAGATCATGTTTCAGACTTGCCTATATGTAGAGTCGGCGATATTATTGACTGTGTCATCAAAGCCGTCATGTTCGTTTTCCTACACATCCATCGACTTAATCTGGTTTCCCAACACGTTTTCAAGTTTATCTGCGTCCATCTTAACGGCTCTTCTCGTCTTCACTTAATGAGTTCTGATTGCTAAAATTATTGAGGGAATGCTAATCAACTGATGATACAAAATAGTACATAGCCAAGTGAAAAATTTCGTAGCTGAATCTAGTGAGTCGTTTTATTCATCACCAATTATGCTGTCAGGTTGTCGTTCAGTTGGCAACTGTTGAGGAACTGAGTCTTTCGAAAGTTAACACAGTACGATATCTCAAATCTAATATAAACAGATTGGTCTTATTGCTCTGAATTGAACACAGTCCCACTGCAACCGATCTGAAACTTACATCGCCTAAAAATGCAGAAATTTCTTTATCAGAAATCTTAAGCGGATTCAGTGTTGTTCTTACAAAAGATCTTGATTATTTCACTAGAACAAAAGTAACTCCGATTTCCAGTCTAAAATAGTTATACCATACACTGCCACTGTTATATTTATATTTCATGACAGCTTTTCTTTTGTTTTAGGAATCGACTACCGCATTTGATAGGTCAACCAGAGCTACGGATATTTGAAATGAATAAGCGATTACAACAGCGCAGCGACGTATGTCTGTACATGTTTTCCAAGACACTAACCTATTTTCAGGACTGTGATAGTTTGTGGTGGGAGTCATTTGCTACTGACTTTTTTGAAGATGACGCAACACTTACTCTTGCCTTTTTGACGGAAGAGGGTCCAAAAAGTTACAGTAAGCCTATCTTATGTCATATTTCTCTCTTAGCAATCGGGCGAACGCTCATTCCTCGTTATTTTCGCAGTATATTTGAAAGTGGATGCGGTGAACTTTATTACAATCTTAGATTGAACCATGAATATTTTCATCATCCAATTTTAACTCTGGATTCAGAATCTGCAACGATGACTATGACTATGGTTAGATCTATTCCTGTTACGGTTGTTGTGGAAGGTCGATTAACACTCGATTTCGCTTTTGATGATTTAATGAGGATTCGGTCGTGGATTTTTCTCATCCGAACTCATCGTGAAATGATAATGCGCTCAATGCTTGGCATTCAAGTAAGTACATTTCCTTTAAGTAATTATGAATTCACACACATTACTAAAGTGCTCAAATTAAGAAACTAAACGGATTTAAAGTATATATATAATATAAACTAAAGACTAATGCAGAATATCATTTGAGTAATAGAGACTAACATTTATAGCTGGAAAGTAATTTATCTCAGTTCATGGTTCAGAACATAGCTCGCAACTTTGTGCTTGGTTTCTGAGTTTTGTTGCCTGAAACTTCCGTTTGGTATTAACCGTAATTATATTTCATAGGTAACTATCCTTTGCGACATATAATTTAATAATTGTATTGTTACTTTTTCGGTACAATTTTAATGCTTTTGTTTGTTTAGGACCCAGCTTTTTTAGATCAACTATCCAAGAACATTACCAGATACGGCATGACAAATACCACCCTCAATTTCTTTCGATTATGTATAATTCTGGAACCAATGCAAGAACTGATGTCGCGTCAAAAGGCATATAGTCTTACACCACGTGATTGCCTTAAAACCACTTTATTTCAGAAATGGCAGAGAATGATGCCCCAAGGTTTGTTGAACAGTTTTCTCACTGATCATTTGTATTTCCACTCTAAAGACAATAATTGGCATATTGGACAGGTAAAAAAGCGCACCATAACTAAGTTTCAGTGGTATGGTATAGAAAAGGCAAACACGCCATTCCGCGCTGAAGTGATTGAGGTAGACAGCATAAAAAAATACCACTAGCTTATGAAAAACATGTCTGTTTCCTAGCCTGGTTATTTGACTATATAAACCTCACCATCGTTACTGAAGTCAATTCTAAGCCACCCATTATAATGAGTTGCTTGTTATTCTAGACTTCATTTAACGTGTTTTGAAACCCTAACAAGTGTTAGTCTAACATAGCTCTCCTTTACACGATCAACTTCCATGAACTATCACGCTTCCTATAAATGATTTCTATTCCAAGCTTTCCCAGTTGATGTTTTATGAAAGGACTGAGACTGATAAATGGTGTCCTCCATGTTCACATTTTCCTTTTGACCAATGTCACTTGAAGTAGTATTGCAACGGACTGCAACTGATTTTATGAAGATAATGGCAACTCACTACCCTCAGTTTAACGTCTCGAAAGTGTAAACTAATATTGGTCCACCAAAACTCTTGTGTTTATTGCCTTACAAGAGCAAGTACGCCTCATAGTTCAAAGTAACACATTACAACCAGATAGTTTCAAGTAATTCTTTCCTAAATCGTAATCACTAGCTTCTTAAATGATCTTAAACAGGCATCTAAGTTCTCACAAAATTCCGGAATACCGAGCCAATGGGTTCTCTCCTGTACTACATTTTGACTTAAATTTTGTTACGTATTATTGAAAAAGAAAACATTCTTATGAGATAGGTTTGTCATTTGGTCTTGTTTCACCATATGAATTATTGTCGTTCATGATGAATTCCCATATATCGATTTCCCTTTGTTTAGAAGCTACACGCCAACCTAGCAAACGACGTAAGCGTAAAGGTAGTTCAGCAACAACTGAAGGTGCAAATAATACAAGTCGAACATCAAAGCGCAAACAGTCACCTATTCCGCTACAATCCCATCATATTGCTCAACCTGGGGTAAGTTTTGTCTCGCAATGAATCATATATATGACATTGTGGCATACTATTGTCCTTTTTAAACCAGCACAAATCGAACCTCGGGTAAATTTTGTTACAGTTTGCATCTATGTCATAGTCCAGTGCTTTTTCCACTGTTTGTGCGTGTAATTGTCTTATTAGTTTCGTGTGTATTTCTCTTTGAAAGGATGTGATGATTGTTGGTGAACCAACTCTTATGGGTGGGGATTTTGGTGATGAGGATGAACGTTTGATAACTCGATTAGAAAATACTCAGTATGATGCCGTGGCTGCTGCTGCAGCCAATTCAGGCGTTATGGCTTCGCATATAAATTCTGGCCCTTTTCCCGGATCTGGCGATTCTCCTGCTGGTATCATATCTTCCCCATTAGGTTTAAGTTCAGGAGGAAACATGTTAAATTCTAACCAACCACAGCAACAGATAAACTCCCTTCAGTTTCGTGCGGGTCCAATGTCTTCAGGTGGATCAAATCAGAGTATGCCACATGAAGGTGTTTTTCCCGGTAATCTTACTTCTTTGCAACAGAATCAACCAGTTTCTATGCCTCCTAGTCAATCGTTTTATTCAAGTTCAGCGCCAAATAGAAATTTGCATCATCACTCTCAAATGATGGGACAACAATTTATGCCAGTATTTACCAAAGCCCAAATGTCAGCTTCTAATATGCTTAATAGAGGTGGTGAGTTACTATTTCCATAAGAGTCGTTTCTATCCAGACTGCACTATTAACCACGAAGTGTTGTTATGTGATCAAGCAAATAATAGCTTCAAACTGTCATTGAACATAGTTTATGGTTTGCTTTTTATTTAAACATATTGCAACTATCAAATGATGCGGGAAAAATACAAGATAAATTATTTCGTTATTGAACTGTAGGTGTTAATTCACTTACTATTATTATACGTGGGATATACCTTAAGATCGAGATATCTTTTCACAGCGATTTCTATGGAGTAATTAAATGCCGCATATATATTTTGTGCCTTCTTGTACCAATATTTATGTGTTCAAATAAATGATAAAATAATTAAACACCTTGCACCTATTATATTTTACTTAATCATGCAGAAATATTAATCCTTCATTCATGGTTGTTCCTGTTATTTACGTAAATATACTTAGTTGTTTATGATGCGACAATGGTATCTTCTCAGTGCTCAAACTTTCTCAGTTTGGATATGTCAGCTTATTCATAATCAAAGTTATCCCGTAGTCCTAGTGTTTGGTGTTCGTTGCCCATCTAAACATTACTAAAAACTTCTTATGAGATCCCTCACATAGGTTTTATTTGATGTTGAAACAGAAGTTTAGGGAAGCTTGATTTCTTACTCGTCTTTTAGAATTAGTCTAAAACAAGTATTTCATTACTCGTTTCTTATTTAGATCACTATATGCCATCAGGAAATGGAGATGCCGTGCATCAACCAACTCGGTCAAGTAGTGCTTCGTCTTTAGTTGACGGTACAAATGGTTTGAGTGGGTTCCCTCACTGTGCCTCTCCCAGTCTTCTTCCCTCAAGACCTCCTGCACGTTTCACCCCGCCTTCTCTTCCGAATGGGTTAAGTTCTTCGGTTGTATCATCTCAACAGTCAAGCTTTATGATGCCAAATGAAGTGATGGGCAGTGGAGGTACGCAAATGGGACATGTCTCTGTTCCCGGTACCCCTTTGACTTCTCCACTGACCTCCTCCTCTTTTACAATGGATATGATGGATAATCAAAATGTTCTCCATTCTGCACCCTCAACTTTGATTTCTACAACTATCAAGTCAAATAATTCTCCTATGCTGTACAATTCAATCGGAACAAGCTGTAGTGGAAATCAGTCGACTCCAGAGTGTAAGTATTTGTTTATCTGTGTATTTTTATAGAATGTTACCTACCCAAGGATTCTATGATTTCAGAGATATATTGCCTTGTGTAGAGTGACTTGGTTTTATATTACTACGGTTTTTCTGTTAGTAAAACCATTAACCGTCAAGTACTATCGATCAGGTGACGTTCAGACATGATTTTTTGGGCTTTTACCCTGAAGAAGCACTTTTGTTGCTTATTAAGAACAATATCTTCAACATGAACTCATTATTAACTTCTATACCGGAAACAAACATCTTTTTTGATTGTCGTATAGTTTCGATCTTGATTGCTTTATTATATATTTATCCGTGCACCGAGTTGATATAAATCTAGTTTTAAAAGCATCTTATCAAACGAGACGACCAACAGAAGCACATGTAGTTGTATCTTCGTGAGTTTATTTTACTTAGTTGATCTGATCACCTCATATATCATACAAGAATATTATAAACTAATTTGTTAACCCGTGTTAACAGAATTTGTTTATCCTATTCTTTTTCGGTAGTGTCTCGTCATCTGTCTGTATCATTACTACCTCTCAATTACATTGATGAAATCGGTGAGATTAACACTGACTAATAAAATTGATCTTTCTGATGGTGATTCAACAGATCTGTGTGCTTGGTTTGAAGAGATTATATGAGAGCTAGTGGCATTGTCCAGCTGTCCAAAATTAAGTCTGTGGGACCGTGACTCGAACATGGAATCTAGTAGTTGAAAGCCGAAAACCTTAACCACTAAACCAACACTTCACAGCTGAATGATAGTAGACTGTTCATACGACAACATTTCTCGATTAGAAAATCTCACTCATAAGAAGTTGACTTTTTTGATACTGGCTTCTATTAACATCTTACCTTTCAGCTATAATGCACCCGACAATAAGTGGTATAGGATGCGATGTTTCTTCGGCTGTGATGAATGATAATGAAGATCTTAAGATGATTAATAATAATGGCGCACCCTCACGTCCCACTGCTGCTGAATCAAGTAAATTTCCTTATGCACTTTCTTTTTTGATGATTTACCTATCATTTGACGCGTTACGACTGTATGTTCGTTTTATTTTCTAACCACATAATAGATTTTGAAGTTAACTTGGTTACCTGTTATGAAAACTTGTTTATTAAACAGTTAGTCACCGAATCTGTTCCATTTTTGTCTTACGACTTTGGGTCAGTTCGGTAGTATTAACTCTTACGAAATATATAGCCTACATCTTGTGACATACAAACTACAATAGCCTTATTGCTACGCCTCACTCAGTAGTTTGACAGGAATGGGTCTTGCCTAATGACATGAGTTTAAGAAATCAAGTCATAACTCTTGTAAGTATTCCCTTCATATGTAGAGTGATGGAAGAATTATTGTGATTATTTGGAAACTAAAGGGAGCATATGTCGGTTAGTGTTCTATTTCCCCAACAAAACAAAATGTTGTGTCACTTCAGGTTATCAGGTTTTGAATTTCTAGACAACCCAAAAGGAAATCGCTTCTTATAAATAGTTGTGTCAAACTCGTATCTTTAAATATTGACACCTGTCTCTGTGAACTTGCCATTTTGTTCCCTCCTTTTTGAATTATTATAAATTTTCTAACATCGAAGTTTGAAAACAAATACTTTGACTGGTTAGAAGGCGAGCAACTGCAAGTCGGTCTGATCGTTTGAGCAGTCTGTCTTAATAACGTACCATTTAACTATCCTTCTTGATGATAAAACCAAATTAGATCTAGTAACCACTATCGTCAACTGATAGATTCACTGTCTTTCAGTTTGACTATACGTAACTGCGTATAATCATTCGTCAAACCTATAGCTTCACTAAAGTTTGGATGAAATATAAAAGAAAGCTTTAGTGGTATAGATGAAACTCCATATTAAAAGTTCTTACGTGCCAAAAGGATACACTTCAATTGATAAAAGAAACCTAACCTAAAATTACAGGTTTGAAGTTAGAGATCCTATTTCATTATATTTAGCATATTTTGAAGTAAAATTCGCCTAATACTAAAGCCTGTTTGTGCTCCAGTTAGTTAGTATGAAATATCAATTAGTCTGTAGTCTGAATAAATACGGTGACCAGGAAAATGCAATTACTGTCACTATTTCGTACTAATATCACTAGATCAACTCAGTCTAAAGTTTTTTGACCTAACAAAAGTTTAAGTCTAAGTTTCACTTTAAATCATCGGATAGATAGTTTGGTTCCAAAGTTTTAATATTTGAAATTATAGATCGAAAGGAGTAAAATCTTATATTCTCTGAGTGATATTTCTTCTTGAGCACATGACTCTGACCATTGATAAAGAAATAAATAATTAACTTTGTATGAATTTATTAACTAAGTTTTTAACTGGATTTTCATGCTGCCCACGAAGATTTATTTAGATAAACAATGTGTATTGATGCATGTGCTCACCATATTATAAATGGTTTATTATTTAAATAGCTACACCACATTTCCACATTTGTGGTATTTATTTTTTTACTCGATAAATACTATAAAGCATCAAACGAGATGATAATGTCATGCCCCCCCCTAATAAGAGGAATTGTTTTTTTTCATTTTAGTGTGAATTGAGATCTCTGGAAGAAAGCATCACAATGGAGCTATACTGCATTTTACAAAGTGGATATAATTTCCATTTTTTCCACTGGCTATCAAGCGAAACTAATTACGAATTTTGCACAAAGATAAACGATACTCTACAACTCCAACTGATCCATCCAAACACTATCTTGTTCATTGGTATTTTTTTGTTCAACGACTAATTATTCACTAAGCATATATATATATATATATATATGCCAAATCGTGAGCTCATTTTCTTCTACAAATGTCTAATTTACAACCTCTTTCATTGCCAAATAAGTAACTATTCCTTTCTCTACACTTCCCCAAATCTTCAGTAATTCTACTTCATATTTTCATTTGTACATATTTTTTGCATATGTACCCATGAATATATATATATATATATATATATATATATATATATATTCAGATCGTTTCTTGTATGTTATAATTATATTTGAATATTTGATTCCATTTGAGATCTTCAATTATCCTTGTTATTGACAACTTGACAGTTGGGGTATTCTTTTATGCATCAGTCCAGATTTTCAACCCATTTCAGTCCCAGAAGACCTTTAGTTCTGGTCACATTTTGTCGGTTAGGCAACAAACGTAATAACAACGTCCAACTGCTACCTCAATCCATTACCCTAGTTCTTTTGTCAAGACTTAGATTCACGTAGTTTATATCCTGATCAAATGCACTGGTATCTGTCTTTTTGGTTAACCATACATATTATTTGCGGTCTGTCGTTGTTTGTCTCTACTGCTGTATACATACATATACAAAAGTTGTTTTTCTTGTCGATATTATTTCTGAGGGTTTCGCCTAACCAATAATATATTGATCGTATTTGAGGAATGTTATGAATTTGAAGGTATTAACCTTAACAGACTATTTGCTCATTCAGTAAAAATAAGTCCCAGTGCAAGGAATTCGGTTAAAATGTATATCTTGTAACAACAGTTGACAGGTACAACCCCAAAATCTTTACATTAAAACAATTTTCTTATGACAAGAAGTAAGATCAGAAGTGTTAGAATCTTTTTAAAACATAATTTAAACTCCTAATGAGCTGAGTGATATATCTCATAATCGTTTATTGTTGTATATTGAACCATAATCAACACGTTTATCTGTTAATCCTATCGGATCCTATAAGCCAAGAACTACATTTAGTTTCTTTAGGCTAACACGATGATGGGTATTTTTAGTTTCAGATATTTGAACTATCTAAAACCATATTCATTGACATGTTTCAATTTCCTTTTTGTACCTGATGACACAATCCAAATATATTCAGTTTTTTAAAAGTTCCGTTTAATATGACTGATGCATTGATCATAATCTTTGAAAAACTGGCAGTTGTTGAACTAATGAGATATTACTACTTACAGGAGGGAGTGTTTTTTTCTGACTAACACTTGCATCAATTAAATATATGTATATATATTATATATTACAGGATATATTTAAATAGTCCGTTCGTTGTTATATGTAGGAACGTTTTGTCCATTCCATCTCAAACCATTATGTATATTCTGTCTAACAATGGTTTTCAGCGAGTGTATGTTACCTGTATATAAGTATCTCAACAACAATTCAAAATTAAGCTTTATCCTAATTACCAAAGAGACGTCTCTATTTTCGTACGTTTTTCGAGCCTTAACTGTATGTTAACAGCATATAAAGGTGATATGTTGGTAATGTTATCTTGTGGAACAATACAACTGACAGTATGAGAAAACATGTGTAGCTAACTGATAATTTATGGATGCAACTTCAAACTAATCATTTTACGAGTTCCAACTTTGTTTATCTACTTTTGTTTGTTTCACGACAATGTATTCCAAGTGTCATTTAAATCATGTACATAGACATAATTCTCTTCAATAGGTATTATCATATCTGGTATTACTTCATACCATTCTGTTTAATACATTTTATGTTTTCAATAAGTAACAATTTACTGCTTATTATGTAACTTCACTCAACATTGTAGACATTCTAGGGAATGTAGGATTTTTGCTTTGTTCACTATCTTACTGGTATCATTTTTAAATGCACTGCAATTTAATATTTATAAACGTGAACGAAAAACTTGACCAAAATTTTTTTGTTGTTGTTGAACCTATTGTCTGTTATAACGGAACTTGTCTTAATTTTTACCGAATATAATCTTGTACAAACTTTACTGTTCATTGGTCACTTTCTAATTTCTCATCAATGCCTGTCTATCATCTTCTTGTATACGTGTATTTTGTTTGCCTACATAATTCATAAATAACAATCCACAATGTATCGTCTATTCTGTATGTATGTCTATCTAACCATCCTTCCCTAGTCACACACTTCTGTATCTGTACTTATCGATTTTGTTTAATACGCAAATGTTTGTTTTCCTCTTCCCTTCCAATGGTATTCTTTTTTTTTTTTAATATCTCGAACATTACTTTGATTGAATTTGAGATAGTGGCTAGCAATCATATCCAGGGCTAGCACTTCATCCTACGAGAAACTTCAAATTGATATAACTGTAATGCACTATTTGTGAGTTTAATAGTATTGAAATGTAGACTTTTTATGTCCATGAGGACCAAGATTCACTGTATATTTAAAATATGCAGATTTATAGTTCGGTAGCTGCTTGTGGTAGTGTTGTGTTATGTAAGCTGTATGTAATCATACTGTCAACTTTAACATAATTCTTAAGAACAATGTTCGATGACACAGTTTCACTTCAATAAGTACAAAACTCTAGAGATATCTTATCACGACCCGGGAGCTACTAACATCTCTTAACCTATGAAACTCAATGATCACTTTGAACCACCTATGGTCTACAACAATTTGAATCGGATTATTTGTATTGACTACATTAGCATGATCAGACGGATCTAAAAAAAAGGAATGAAAATGTAGTACGATTGATAGTAAGAAACTCTAAAATTCGGAACTGTTTCACGGAGAAGGTATGGTAAGGTGTGAGGAGTTGGAGGCATGTTGGAACTCAAGATTTAAAGCAGGGGTGGGTGCATTTACATTATTTATTTAAAGATAAACAGGGCATACACCATTCGATTTGTGTGAGGATTGGAATACAACCCGGGTACCCAAATCGAAGCAGGGCTACACCGGAGTCTTTGATCTAAAGGTCTGATCCACAAGACAGTGGAGCAACGTCAGGAGATACAGTCCCATAGTAGCTAGTGACCAACGATTGGCTCATGCGACATTTCTTCCTTCCGGATCCTGGAGGCCATGTGCACCATTGGCTCGGAATCAGGGTTTTCCAACTCCTTAGGTGGGTTCTCCATATCCAACAACCCAGTGAAAGCTCCGGACATTCGTCTTCGTCCTCTCAGTTTCGTAGACAACACTAGTGCCGTGAGAAGCTAGTGAATAGGACTTCCTTGGCAATGGTTGTATGCACGTGGCCGTGTGAGAGCATTTCTAGAGGGAGAGCTGACTCCCCACTCTCGGTCATACCAGGGCAATGAATCTACATCATTGTGACTGTTTCTAAGCCATAATTCCCAACCTCAACTCGGAAGTCTACATATCCCATCACAGTTAAGTCCATAATTTTATGGACCTATCCCACATTCTGATTCGATCCTCTGTGGCACTGTTCTAAGTTACTCCGACACCAGTTAACATCGCCAACCGAAGAAGGTACCGTTTGGGTATACGTAATTTATCTTCCAATTCCCTCATCCAATGACGATTTACAACCCTGCCAACTGTTTTGCCATCTGTGCATTATATCTAACTCAATCTTAGTAATACTCATTTATTCGTTACACCAAAGTCGTCCAATGCTCCCAAGATATGCATTGTAGAACAAGCTGCAGCCAACGCATGTCGTCTACTTTCTGAAATCGCGTTTTACAACCATAGAGTAATATAAAGCTGACCGCTTGTCAGTATACTGGTTTTTTTGGTTAGCAGACACATCTAACCTACACTACAAGTAGATGGGAATCAATGCAATACAAAATATTTTCATACTATAGATTAACTTGCTGAATTTGTATCGTTGTTTGCCATAATCAAAACAGTGCATGGGAACTTAAGATGCTAGTGGAACTATCCTTCTAGATAAGTGCAAAAAAGAAATAGAATTTTCAAATTTCATCTCTTCAATTCAGCATAAAATGTAAATTCTCATATTTCTCACGTTTTGCAGTAGACTTGTCAATACAGTATATGCTTATAACAAATAGGGTTGCTATAGTTTGGTAATATTTCATACTGAACATTATAACAACATCAGTAATATTCAATAAATGATAGTAATGTATTGAGAAAAAAAGAAACGAAATTTAAATCCTTTAGAGATAACAAGAATATCATAGTCAACCAATGACTTTGAAAGCGGAAATCAACTGTTGATACATAGTTACTAAAATAAATAATCATATGACTCGTATTTAAAATTTAATTTTGTAAATGACGTCAGTTTTAAAACAATAAATGGATAATGAAATTGAGTTTTAAATAAAAACAAACAAAATAAACTTGCTTATAATCAGAAAATGTATGTGTTGATTTTACTGATTATTAAGTTATTTAATTAACAGTTAATTAGAGTAAAATTTCATGAATATTAATTGTTGTACTTTTCTTTCCTCTCTCCCTTATTACGGTTGCAATGAAACGCAATTCGATTTTGTAATTGTGGCAATTTGCTTAGCCACCAATCTGAATAAAGCGGGAATTATTATAGCCGTCATTTTTGTAAGCAATGGTGGTCGACTTTCTTTGTTCCGTGTTTTTTTTCCTCTATTTCTTTTGTGTAGCTACATAATTTAATGTTTCAGTGTACTAAAATGCTGCAGTTAATGTAATACTCTAAATGTTGGCGCAAATTTTCTTTGATTCGATTTATGTGAAGACTGGGTTACTGCTTGGTTACGCAAACCGAAGCAGGTGACAAGTGTATGATATAAAATTACATTGAGAATACGTCTTCTCATTGCATTATCGAAATTTATCAAAGGGACTAATTGTTTTAAATAATACTTTATTAATTTGCTTCCTATATATGTATTTTTTCAACTGATTTAATTATGTAGTCAAAATTGTTGGTCAGATTATGGGAACAAATTTGAGGGATTATTAAAATGATCTCGAAGTCATTTTTCAATTAACCAACAAAGAACTTGTATAAATCGAAAGTATTTCACAACTGATATAATAAAAAAAAATGGCAGAGTCTAATAGTTTTAGAATACATAGCAGTTTTTCAACATTCATGATCAGTATTCCGACCTTAATATTGTAGAAACATGCCTACATAAAATAATTGATCTTATTCCGACTTTATTCATATTGAAGTTTTCTTTCCGGATTTTATTTTTCACAGCCAAAATTATTCATAAATTTACTGAAGGGTTAGAGAGATTAAATTATGGGTGGGTTATTGTTGTCGTCATATGAATAAGAGAAAGTTATGTGTAACAATCGTTTTCCATCTAAATATTTATACTTCACAATCTTATTTTTACTTATTGACCCACTAAGAAAGTGATTCATATTCGAATCTACTGTTAAATAAGTGAATTGAAACGAAAATTGATTGATTCACATGTTTTGTAAAATTTCCATATCAAAAACTAAACACTTTATATGTTTGAAATTGTTATTTTTACTCTATAAGTACTTCCTTAGTTACGCCTGTTACTCCTCATGGAGGAGCATAGACCACTCACCAACACTCTCCATTCAACCCTGTCCTGGGCAATCCTTTCCAGTTGCCATTGATCCTTTTTCATATCTGCTTCTATTTCCCGAAGTAATGTGTTCTTTGTCCTTCTTCTTTTTTGCTTCTTTTGCCTCGTGACGCACTTTGGTAACTTCCGTAATGTATGCCCTATCCACTTCCAACGTATTTTCCTAATTTCCTCTTCAGCTGGATGCTGGTTTGTGCTCTTCCACAGAAGGCTGTTACTTACTCGATAGTAATAAAAATAATTTTTTCCTAAAAATTTCTAAACATTCTGAACATTAAACAAAATATTTCCATAGAGCATTTTATGTAACATGAGAAAAAAAGTCTACCATTTTCGAATTTTGCTCAAAAAACTCGAAAGTAATTTTCTCAATTCTGGTTAGCTCGTTCCTACTTTCTACTTTTATCAAATTGTTTTCCAATATAATTATAATCTTTTGTTGAGTATGTAATGTGAATAAAATCATTCAATAAACAGTTAATAATCATTTCAATGGTTGAGATCATGAGCTAATTGAAGCCAGACCACCATGGAAACCTTGAAGCACTGGACAGCCGTTTCGTCCTATTGCACATCCACGATCCGGCGTGCAAGACCATGGGTCCTGGGTTCAAATCCAGCGGGCGGGATCGTGGATGCGCATTGCTGAGGAGTCCCATACTCAGACGAAACGGCTGTCCAGTGCTTCGAGGCTTGCGATGGTGGTCTAGCTTCAATTGACTCATGATCTCATCCATTTAAATTGCTATAATATCCACGAAACCTTTTCTGAAGTTAATAATCAGTTGATTAACTTAAATTTGAATAACCAGTTGGTGTTTAATAAATATAGAACTACCAAGTTGTATGTGAACTTAGGATTTGGAGGCAATTGGTTTAGTTGTAATGTGCATAATTGTCACGAAATTAACATGAATTTTATTTTAACGAATCAATTTATATCCACATTCAGGGGAGATGAAGACTTATATATAATAAAGTCTGTTTGATATTTTTACCTTGAACATCTGAACGTCTTTATGCTAAAATTGACTAGAATCCTTTTAAAAGAAACATTTTTTCTTCCTATCAGAAGGGAAGTTTTGTGGAGATTGAAGTAATTTAATAGTTGAGTTCATGAGTCAGTTGAAGGTAGACAATCATGGAAAACCTGAAAGCACTGGAAGGCCGTATGGGACTCCTCAGCAATATGCATCCACAAACTCGCGCGCGAGACTGAAGGCCCTGGGCCCGAATCTTGAGGGTGTGATAGTGAATGCTCACTACTGAGGAGTCCCCTACTAAGAACGAAACAACCTTCTAGTGCTTTCAGGCTTTTCATGATTGTCTACCTTCAACTGACTCATGAACTCAACTGTTAAATTTTTCTCTCTACTCGTTTTCTCTTATTTTATAATCAATTGCTTCTCTGTACTATTTCAGTTTGGTTCATATTTCGTGTAGTTGCCATGTAGCTTGTCACCCAATTATATTACTAGATTATTCTAGAAAAATACCGTTTTAAATGAAATCAAATTATTCTTATACCTTCATTATCTTTTAGAATGTAATTAGATTGAAATTTATTGACCATATAGTATATTCTGAAAATCTTCCGCCATTTTTTTCATGAAAAAAAATCAGTTTTCATTTGTAAATATTCAGGTGAATAAATATTTAATATTCGTTTAAAAGAACAAAATTTATTCATTATCATAGTTACTATGCTATCGATTAATTCGCTTGTCATTAGCGCAATTTTTGAAATAAGACATAACCTAAGAGTTAAGCACTTGGTGTTTCCGTGGATTTCTATATGTTACCATGATGTTGTTCTTTTCTTTTTTTTTAT